ACGACCGTAGCGCAGCAACATCCAGCGGTTTACCAGCAAAAGCTGGCCATCTTCCACTCCCACTGCATTGATATGCGGAGACTTTTTTGGGGGTGTGGGGGCCTAACGAGTCTGCTTACACTGCTGTTTGAGCTTTCGCAAAAGTCGACATCATTTCTGAGGAGCCGCACGGCAACCAGACTGACAATCATGTGAGGGAATTCGGCGTGCTTGATTGTAAACTTGCCCAGCTGTTCATTTCGGATACAGAATGAGGACTTTGGGGATGAGGATTCGTCAAGAAATAAACATGAGTACGTTGTGATCTACTTCACGAAAGAACAACCAAACTCAGTTTTGCTCCCGTTGCCTTTTTAAAAAACATACGCTAGAGTGCATGCTTACTTGTAAAGCTAGCGTACATTTTACCATGCCTGCGTCCAAAAATTAAGCGCGTCTTGTGTATGTGTTAAATACAAAAAAAAATAGCACCCGGAACTGACACTCCGCCTCTTAATACAGCGCGCCGTATGGTCGTGGAAATGCGGCCGCTTGATTCGCAGCCATTCTTACCGCAAACAGAGCCGGGCCCATGTAGGCCTCCATGTACTGGTAATACAACGACATGATCTTGACCAAGTTCTGAAGGGCCGCCACCCGCACCTAAAAACACAGATGCCAAACTCAGCTGCACGTGGCTTGACGCGCGGTTCCGGAAGGTCTTGCTTTGGCGAATACTCACTCGGGTGTCTGGACACTGCGTGGCCTCGCACACCACCTGCATGATGACGTGCCTCTCTGTCTGCGAGACAGACAGCCGGCAAACATGAGCGACCAAAGCGGGCAACCGAGCGGCGGCGGTGCCAAACTGAGTGGCGGCGCACCTCCTTGTCGAAGTTGGCTTTGGTGAACTCCAGGGAGTTGAGGAGGGCGTTGGTGGCGGCCAGTTTGACGTTGTTGCTGGGCTCTTCCTTCCTCATGCCCTGGATGATGGCTGTCAGGATCTGGTTGGCATTTTCCTGAAGCTGCTCGGGATCCTACCAAAAAACAAAAAAAACCCTCTATGTGACGCAAAGGAACCAGTAAAAGTATTCGCGACAAGTCCGTTCGTTACTTCTTGGAGAACATTTTATTCCCTTATGATTTCTATCGGACTAAGAACAATCACAGCTGCAACCAAAGTGCTCTACATAAAAACAAGTCACAGGATAACTTCACATTATTTAGAACCAAAACGAAAGTATCAACTATAAAATGTATACAAATAAATATGACAAGGGCATAATCACAAAATGATGTTCAAAGGCAAGGAAAGAAAGAACCCACGACTATTTGTAGCGCCGATGCGTATGTGGAACTGGGAGTCGTGGCTTGGAATTGAAGCGGATTTACATTGGACAGGAGAAGAGAGCCAACCTCTTTTTCGTTAATGGATGCTACAGCTTCTTGTTGCTTTCAAGCTTAGCTTGTAGCAGACGTGTGCACATTTCAGCATGACGTCTTTGATCCACTGGTGAAAAGTTAGTTATCGATATAACTGCTTCAGACAACAAAGAGTATGCAGGAAAGTAGTTAAGATTGCACGATTGTCTGTGTCTAATGTGTTGTCTTGTATTATTTTGTCATTTTATGTTAACTTTTCTTTTGATGGCGGTTCGGGCACCCGCAGCGGCTCCTCTTGTTGCATGTTGTGAGAGGGAAGAAATTTTCATCTGCGCTGTATGTTGCACATACAAGTACAACTTTATGGTCAAAAGTTGTACTTGATACTTGACTTGATTTTTAGAGGTGACTTTTGAAAATGAGTATTTGCCGCCCATATGTTTGTATTTGCACACGGCTGCTGACAGCGGCAACTCACAATGTCCTGGCAGATGTAGCCGATGGCCTCGAGGGTAGACTCCTTCATGTGCTCGGTGCTGGTTGGGCCTGTCACGTTGGTCACCAGCTGCGGGATGAGCTCGGGCCACTGGTGGACGGGAATCTCGGCGCAGGCGATGCCGGCCACGCACTGCGACGCCGAACTCGGCCGGTACGTCTCCGTGCCCAACGTCTGCAGAACCTACGAGGCGCCAAGAATGGATTATGTGACTCTTATGGTGTGTGTGGCCTTCAACGGGCCCACAATCTCTTCCCCCAACTTACGTAGTTTTTGATCTGGCAGCGAGCGTTTGCGTCCACGGCCAGCCATCGTTGCTGGTACTGAGCTTTGACATCCGGGTCTTTGGAGGTCAGAGAGTTCTTCACCTGGAGGCCCGCCGCCACACGCGCCACCTGCGTGTTGCCCGGGTTGGCCAACACTTTGGATAACTCCACCAGGAAGGTTGGCTGACAGGACGGGAAGTCAACAGTTACCAACTTGTTGTTAAACGACAACAGCGGCAACATCCAATGCATTGTGGAATATTTATCACATGTAAAGGTTTCAGTTCATCAAACCAATTTTGATATCACACAGAGACTACCCAAAGAAATCCAAAATTTTGCTTTGAAATGCCAATTTATTAAGGTATACACACACACACACACACAGAAAAAAAAAACAAAAATGTGTATGGCCCAGCGTGTACATAGCTCATTCATGTTGTCCTTGTTATTCAGCACAGCACACTGCATATTTCTTTTGGTGTCTGTGCAATTCTGGTTTGTTGCAATGTGCATCTGTTTTTGTTTTTTGAGAACCCACCTCTCATTTTTCATAGAACCCCCATCATATTTGTGCCCCATTTTTAAAAACCTCATCTCTGGCTAATATGTGGTTTTAGTCAAGAATAAAGTGTTAGCACTTACAGGATGGCACCACATCTGTCTCGGGTTGAGACATGAAAATCCCAGGAATGAATACAAAGTTTAGACCATTGATGTCATTAACCCACAATACATTGCGTGAAAACGAGTCGTCTGTCAACTTCCACGATCAACGGAAATAAAGCTGGACCCGCTTTTTGAATCTGAATACGTTCCAAACTCTGCTTGAGTATTACCACTTGTCTGAAGCAAGCCACGCCAAGTTGAGGGTGTAGCGGGGAGGTCCTAATGCTAATGCTAAGGCTAGTGCCGGGCAGGCGGGATCCGCGCACGCGCGCGCCCGCCCTACTCACCAGGTTTTCTATGGCCGCCTGCTCCAGAAACTTCTGCGCCGCCTCCAGCTCATTCCGATCTGCATACAAGCAATAAAAAAATCCATGAGAACGCCTCTCAAACTGTGCAAATCAATCAGATCGAAGACGGCGAGGCTCCAACGTGCGCGCTACTCCGTTAGCACGCTAACCCTGCACCAGCCGGTTCGCGGCCCGCTAGACGGAGCAAATGCAAAAATATATATACGTAAATATGCAAGTCGGCGAAAACATTCTCACGTCGCTTGAACGACAATAAAGTTGATTGACATGCCGCTCGTCTCCCAAGTGCTAGCAAAAGAATGTTGGCGGCCGAATGCTACATGTTAAGGGGCTAGTCGAGGGGCTAACAGCATGGGCAGGGGCGGAAGACAAGAAGTCAGAGAAAACACCACGTCAGCGTCCGAGCCGCACTCTGCTTCTAACGAGACACTCAATGCGTGCTCGCCGAGGCCGAGCGGGCCATCTCGCGGTGAATGAAGGGCCGGCAGACGGCGAGCCGCTGTGAGGCCGTCCATTGCGGTTAGCGCAAAGCTAACTAGCCGATTGGCTAACTAACTAGCTTGCCAACAGCCCCCAAACTTTCACCGGTCGACCGGAGCCGCCCGGCCAACAGCAAAGGCCTCGGCGCGACGTAGATAACCACCCTCCCGCCAGGCCGGTAAACGCCGACAGGGACTCGCCTGGAGAGATGGTTTTCTCGAGTATTGTGATGAGCTCCATTCCGTCCGTCCGCCGGCGTCCGGCAGCCGCTGGCGCGCCCGTCTAGTTTGGCTTAGACTGACTCTTTCCGATTGGTAAAGAGGCAGAGGTTCCCCGGTTTTGGGCGTGGATGGCTCAAGAAAAGCTCGCTTAAGGGTCGTGCTGGTGCTGCTTGTAGTGGTGAGCTGGAGCCGCCTCGCCGCCGCCCGTTCGCATCGCTCGCTCTCTCGTGTTGCGTCGCGAGGGAAAGGCCGCGCACTCCCGTTCGGCGGAAGGATATCGCACCTCTGGGCCGCGCGCGCTCCCGGCCGGCGGAAGGATATCGCACCGCGGCCAATGCATTCAGGGACCGTCGGAATTCGTTAATGCCGCAGGGCGGAATACCCAGCAAACGCTTCTCTTCGGCGACTCCGCAGGCTTGGTTCAATTCAAGACGGTTTAATGTTTTCTACGGCATTGATATTCAGGGAGAAATTTGTTATTCTTGTGGCGTTCGTACCAGCGACAAAAGCAAACTAAGAGCGGCAAAAAAACTCCGGCGGAAGTGGGAGCTTTGAACGCCACGGAGTGAACACGTGTGTGAGCCAGTTGTAGGCGAAGGCGCATGCACGTGATGATTGCTGAAGTGTTTTCGTTGACTTTGTTAGTTTTCAAAATGACGTGGTTTGACATTGCGTTTTGGTTGACAGTCTGAGGGAAAATTCGCGGTGACATCATCGGCTCGTGACACAAGTGAGTTGACTTTGAAGATCTCGTCATCGTCATCACGTTAACGTCTGACGAGCAAGGTGACGTCACAGCTTCTCACACGGGGATACTGTATTCGCAAAGTTGGAAAGGTTCGGCAAAAGGAGTTTGTACTTTTGCCAGCTATGTACAAATACAACCTGTTCATTGTCTGTCATAGTATTGCACATTTAACGTACATTCACTGTGATATTGCGCTTTTGGCATTTTAGCGCGGAATTCATTCACAAGTTTTCATGTACATATTCAGTCCTGTCAACATTTTTTTTGCATGTGTGCTGATTAATAGCAGGTGTTTGTTCGTGTTCTTGTGCCATGAAAATTAGATAATCATCAGAGAACTTGCCATTCTCAGCACTTCTGATTAATCAGTCATTTGTAAAAATAGCAGACCCACACACATGGGGACTGACCAATTTGTGGAAAATAGGAAATTGACCACACTTGGACATACAGGTTTCGGCCCAATTCCAGCCTTGCGTTATATCGAACATTTTTTTTCAATGGATGTGTGCTTCTTAAATAGTAACCGTTTATTATAAGCATAAACACATGCAGAGCATGTCATGTGTTGATGACATGTCTGTTTTATTTGTCCTACAACGGACAGGATGTCAGGTGGGCGAAGCTCCGCCCTCCTGAAGAGCACAGTCGTCTTATAACGTTAAAAAATGGAATTTAAAAAAAACAACTCATTGGTTCTTTATTTGTTTTACAGTAGTCACTCATTCGTCATAGCTGCCTTGAGTTGCTCTTTTGCTTTTTCTTCCAAGTTGCCTCCTCATCTTCCCATCAACACAAAGGAAGAGTTTTGGACAAAGTATAAGAACAACAAAATGACAAAATCAAATAAAATGCCCCTTTTTACAAGAAAACACATTTTGGCAAAGGATGGATGAAGGTCCTGATGATCCAGTGCATTTGAAAATATCCAGAAATACAAATACGTCGATTCAGCGCGTGTACTGCTAAATAGTTAAGAGCTAGGAGGACCTTCGTCCAATCAGATTTCATCTCCCCACTTGTTGCCAGGCAACTTGGAGGCTAACCTGCACAAGACGGGAAAAGCAGAATTAAAAAAACAAAACCAAAAAAAAAAAAAAAAAAACCACCCCCCACACACATACACACAATCAACATGTGAGTTGACCAGCAAACTTGTTGGCACGACACGGCTAACGGGAAGCCAACCCTGCTAGCATCCTGCTAGCGCGTGACCATGGGGATTTTTAGACAGTGGACTTAGACAGTTGCTAATGAACAACTCCAGAATTCACTCTATTAAGATTTTTATATAGTGGACTAAATAGTTGACTCTAGGACTGAAAGAATAAGTCCTTAATCATATATATATATATATATATATGTATATATATTGTTAGCTATTTTTATATAGTGAACTCTATAGTTGAGTGATCAACTTGATGACACAAGGTGAACAGGAAGCAAACCTTGCAATCATCCAACAAGCTGGCACTCTGCCAGCACTGCTAGCAAGTAAAATAAGGAGCGATTTGACAAGCCGCTGCTGAACGGCCACAATTTGTCACAGTTTTGTCCGACCAACAGTCAAAGACTTGTGTAAACAATTGAAAAATGAAGCTTATTTCAACATTTGGTAAGCTTTTGTTCTTTCATCCGGTGAGCCTTCCGACTTTTGATCAACCATCTGTTAGCGCGCCACCAAATGCTAGCTGACGAGCCCGGTCTGCTAACATGCTAATGAGCTCGGAAAATCATCTCAGATTGATTTTTGTTAACCGATTCATAGCATTGCAAGCGTCGGGTGATCTGTTGCCAACACTGTTAGCTCGCTGCTAGTCAAGTTGACGACATACAAGACAAAGTTAGCATGGAATGGCAAGTCGCCAAAACCGAGAGGGCTTTTCAGAAAAACCATGTGGTTGCCGAGCCCGCCGACTGTTTTGGAGTGACAAAACATGCAACCGTGAACACTGGAGTCCATGTGTGCACATACCATATGACAAGCGGAACAGCGGCTAGTTAGCCTAGCTTAACAGGAAGGGTCCTCTGACATTCACCTCCAAAATTGTTTTACTTGTCTTCTTCTTCAATTACTGTTGCTAAAATGCAAAAGCCAGCACAGCGTATTTTTGTGCCAACTATGCTAACATGAACCAGATCATCATCTCCAAAAGAGGACATTTCCTTAAAGGGGAACTAAACCCAGGAATACATACATTTGCATGCAAGATATTCTTCACATCGATGCATCAAAATGTCTTACTTTTCAAGTAAAATAGTGGAAATGGAACAATAATAGGTGAGAAGAGCAGTATATTAGTGGTGTTTGAAGTGCTCATTCCACAAAGATGGTGGCTGCAGGTCACATTACTAGTTAGACTGAGCGTGCTTTGTTCAAACTTTATGTTGGCCTATGAAACTGTCTTGAAAGGGAGGCGGCTTGGTGAATAAGTATGAGTGAATGCTAATATTTAGAAACATATTTTGTATATTTTAGGAAAAAGCATCACTTAAGACAGGGGTGCCCGGGTATGTGCGCATGCATGCGTATGCGCGCATGTGCATGGGTGCGCATGTATGCGTGCACGTGTGGTAACGGGTCAATCGCGGGAGGTTGGTTGGTTAAAAAGTAGATGTTCGTTCAAACACCACGAGTAAAAATATATGCACATTTAATTTCGAAAAAGGCTTGACATCTTTGGTTTAGTTCCCCTTTAAACCTGAACAGCACAGCAAGACTAGCTTAAGATCCACAGCATTATGACTTAGCCTAGTTCGGTAGCGTATGACTCAGCTTAGCCTAGCAAAGAACGTCTTGACAAGAGGGAAGACTTCCTGCAGTTGTGCTGACACGCAGGTGAACGGGGGCGGGGGCCAAAGCCGTAGAAACCAAAGCAAGGACTTTCTTTCAAGTCAGCACACTGCTCGGCACCGGTTTAACCCAAGTCACGTGGTTTATGGACGCCATGTTGTCTCTATTCCTGTCTTTACCTTGCATTAGCTTCAGGACACATTTTGGCTTTTAAAAGTGGATTTTATGGTGTATTGTGTCCAAAGGCTTGCTTGTCTGGGCCGTCGGCTGTTCTAATCGCCCCTGACTAGGTGCGAGGATGCACTGGTTCCCAAAAGGAGGACGCCAGTGGGAGATGAACCCGACACTATATTCATCAAATACAACCTCAGCAATATGATGCATCATTACTTTGAAGATATGAAAAATGATTTGGTGTCAAAAAAATGATATGTCTTAAGACCGGGGGTGCTTGCCTTGGTAACAAATAAAATAAACAAGCAAAAAAAAAAAAAAAAAACAAAAAAAAACCCTCTGTTGTCTTCAAATTGGGAGCATCTTCCTCCTCCTCGCGCATTTAGTGGCTGCGATGCTACCGTCAGATGAACATCACAGATAAACATTGTGAGCTTTCTGTGGAAAAGATCTATTCTGTATAATCCATTTTGGAATCTAATCAGTTGCACTGCCTGCGATGTTGTGTCACATTAGTTGATTTCTACGGCTTTGGGTCGGGGGTCGTGAAAGTGGTGGTCTCTGGGGGTGTGCGGGCTCATTTACATGAAACTACAGAGACAGAGAGACAGACACACACACACACACACACACACACACACACACACACACACACACACAGACGTTTGTACAGAGAACAAATATGTACACGCTCAGAGGTATGCCAACACATTTCTCCTCTTTCTTCTCCTCCTCCTCCTCACCTGTAGTGTTCTCAAATGTCCCATGATGCCACGGGGCACTTAGCGTTTAGCTGTTCTTTAGCAGCGTCCTGTCCTCAGGCGGACAGGAAGTGGAAGCAGCGAGCGTGGCGTTGGAGACGGAGGAAGAGGAAGCGGACGAGGACGAAGACGAGGACGGCTGCGCTGGGAAGCAGAGGAGTTGTCCCGCTTCGGTGGGAAGCAGCGAACACGAGCGAAGGTCCACCGTCTGCAGGGACGGACAACGGCGCAACAGCGGGACGCTCTGCTCAGTCACCTTCACACAACCTGCCACACATACACAAACACACACACGCTATGGTTACGTGCTCGACGCAACAAACATGAGATGATACAGAGCCGCAACCAACCATTGTTTTCATCATCCATTATTTTTTCAATCCATCAACAACTCGACAAAAAAAAAAAAAAAAAAAATCATTTGATAATTTCCATTCTTTTTTTTTTTCAAAAACAGGACATTATTTGCAAATTGCAAACCCAATTCCAACGAAGTTAGGACACTGTGTTAATCAGAAATAAAAACAGAATACCGTAAATTGCAAATCATGGTCAGCCGATATTTAATTGAATACCCTACAAAGATATCTTGTCATTGTATTCTGTTTTTATTTCTGTTTAACGCAATGACACAACTTCATTGGAATTGGGATTGTTTTGACGGAAATGAGAGGTGGTTTGATGTTGAGAGGCTGAAATTCACGGCATTTGGACAATTTGCAGTAAAACAAGGTTTGGTCAATATTCGATGACTTGACAATTAAGCAATGAATTGCTGCCCCTCCACTTGATTTGCTTTGGTGGGCCACAAAACATGCACACGGTGGAAGCTGAGCGTGTGGTGAGCACACCTGCCAGGTTGAGGTGCGTAAGGGTGTGTCTGAGCGGCGAGGTGGGCGCAGCCAGCGTGGCCACACTGTGATCCGACACGTTGGCGCAGTGGCTGAGGTCCAGCTTGGCCAGACGCGGCACAAAGCGCACCAGCAGGCGGGATGCCGCGTCCGTCAGGTCCAGCCCGGACAGCCGCAGCTCCGTCACGTTGTGAAAACGGCCCGCTCGCGGCTCCGCGCCGCCACTGCCGCCGCGCCCTGAACAGCCAATCAGAAAGGGACTACCGAAATCATCCCTCTGTTGTCGTGAGACGTTATGATATTTCAAGCTTAAAAGGTCGCTTTTAAAAAAAAAAAAAGGAAATTTTCCCTGCCATATCTTCAACACTAAAAATTAAATGTTACTGTGACACTAAGAAAACTTTTAAACACGACATACTTGGATGCAAAAAACACAATATTTACTCATTTGTACCACGCGTCAGGAAAAATCGGGATGCCGATAGCCCCGACAAGCGGGGAGAAAAACATGATTCGATCAGTTTCTTCCTTAATACAGTCAAACCTCGGTTTTCGAACGTCTCGGTTCTCCACCAATTAGGTTTTCGACCAAAAATTTCGAGTTTTTTATGCCTCGGATGACGAACAAATTTCGGTTCTCGAATGAACTGAGCGCACTTGAATGCACCATTTGACTCCTCTTGCCTTCCTTACACGTGGAAGTGATGCTTCCTCGTGTTGCTTTCCATTGTGAGCAGACGTGTTCAGTAAACATTTTTATTTTAAAAAGAGCGTGGTTTCGGTTTTCGAACAATTTCGGTTTTCGAACAGCCTTCTGGAACGGATTATGGACGAAAACAAGAGGTTTGACTGTCGTTGCTTCAGGTCTTTTCAGTGCACCGCCGTTGATAGCGCCTCCGTAGTGGTGCAACACTGCAACTGCAGTTAAAATACGTAGCTGCCACAGAGGGACATCAATCGCTCAATCAGCACAGCTGTAGCTTTACGCCATGTTGAGCGTTATCAATCGGCCTGGCTGGGGGTGGCAATCAATTTTGAATACAGGAAAAATGCTGCTTTGGTCCTTAAACTAGCCAAGGCACGACATCGGCCTCAATAGCATATACGGTTTGCGGGTGGCGTGCTCACCTGTCCTGCTGTCGGGGGGTGGGGCCAGCAGCTCCCTCAGGTGAGCGTCCTTCAAGTCGTCCACACCGCTCAAGTCCAACATGCGCAAACACGACCGCACGCCCTGACACAACGCCGACACTGCTGGCCACGCCACGCCCGCCACCGTCAACTCCGCCAGGCCTTGAGCACATACACACGTATGTCACACACTAAAACACGCATATTGATATTTGGTGTGCGCAAACACGCACGTGCACACACATAGTACCAATCAAAGATTTGGACTGTTGTGCGGCCGAAAACGTGGACTTTGGAGGACACAGCCCGGGAATGTGGACACGGCCGCCGCGTGGTTGACAGCAAGTGCATATGCGAGCGAGGACGGATAGTCTGGCAGACCTGGCAGGCGGCTGATGAGCCAGACGAGCTGCTTCTTGGAGATGTTGGTGTGTCCAAGGTTGAGCGAGACGGGCTGTCTGCGAATGATCCCGCTGAGCATGGGTGGCGTGATGGAGCGCTGTCGGCTCAGGTCGATCCGACTCCACAGACGCTTGTCGCAACACCTGCATCGCCACAGCAACCACACGGGCCAGCGTTACTTATGACTGTCGGGCCTATGTGGGAAAACTGCAGTGATTCCCAAGCAGCGGGCCGCAGGAAATGATCCAATTGGACGTCGCCGCTCGGAAACGATGAGCGCTTAACTCAAAAATAAGGCTGTTGTGTCTCTCTATGGCAGTGACGTGTAGTGACGAGCACAACAATTAATGTACATTTATGAACACGTATCCACTTTTTGCAATGAAAAAATCGACGTGATGACAAGTTTTCAATTTCTCATGTTCAGACAAATCTATTTCAGGTTAAGGGACGTTCTCTTCGGCCCGAAACAGGACCCCCGCATATAGTTTGATTTGCAGATTTGTTTTCAAATTTCGTCGATGTATTTGAATATGTGTTTGAAATATTTTCGGGGGGGGCGGGGGGGATTTCCCACATTTTTGCAGAAAACATTGAATGTTTTTCAGCATTTTGGGAGGGGGGATTTGGGGTTAAAAAAAAAAAAAAGTACATCCCAAAAAAATGTAACAATTTTCTCCCCCAATGCATTTCAGTCGGTGTCAGTTTGATGAGCCCCCACTCTACTTGTAGGCTGGCTGGTCGGTATCGCCTGCCAATATCGGTGGTCGACTGTATGCCTATCAAGACAATGGTTGCATTCCTAGAAGATGATCGCGTGGTCTGGGGTGTGCTAAGAGTGAATTTGTCCCGATAATCGGGTCCCTACGGGTCGGTTGGGGCTACAATCTTTAGATTGTGTTCAAAATTTCCCACCAATAACCTTCATATTTGTGACATAAATGCAATGCAGCCAATTGAAGACTAAGAACAAGGAAACAGCCATAAATTAAAATAATATAATCTTTTTTTGAGTGGGTTCTGCAGATGACAACAAGCCTATTTTTTTTTCTTTTTTTAACAATGTTTGAGAAATCCTTCTGTGTGACCCGGGAGGGCCTGCCTTGGCTAATGCTTCAGCCCCACTGCTTCCTGGTGTGACGTGTCTAAAAAAAACAGCAGATGCTGGGCCAGTAGGCCACAGCCGCTGGTAAAGAAGTGGCGCACGCCCCCCTTGTCCTCACTTGTCGTCCATCCTGACGGCCTCTTTTGACCATCACAGTCGGGTCAGGGAATTTGACTCCCTCTGAAAGTTCCATGGCCACATCGGCAAGCGGTGACGAAGGCTGAAGCATCAGCACGAAACCATCAGTCAGCTAAGACAACTTCTTTTTACCCCCCCAAAAATGGCTCTGAACACGTGAAATCTACATTTTCTCATAAAATCTAGTAGCCACAAAAAGCGGGGTTATTAGACTACGCTCATACTGCAGGTCCATTCCGATTTTTTTGCCCAATGTGTCGTCCAATGCATCAGATTTTTTTTACGTCAATGTGGTGAGTAAAATTGTGATTTCCCCACCCCCACCCCCCAAATCAGACCCAGACTTCTGCAGATAGCCTGTGGGCATCAATGGGAAATGTATCCGACGCGACTGCAGTAGACACGCTCCTCCGACGGTGTGCCATCAAAAGGTGATTAGTCATCACAATTCATTGTCAAAACAGAAGGTAGGCAAAAAAAAAATTTGGATGGGGAAAACGAAAAGGGACACCACGGACCAGATTTGGTTCCGTCCTTCCAAAACTGCCACGCCAAGTGACGTTCTCTTTTGCCACTTGACCTTTCGCAAAGCGAGCGACGCCATCAAAGGACGGCGCTGAGCGACAAAGCCCAAAGGGGCCTTCCTGACCTGCAGTGTGAACGTAGCCTTCGGCCTCTTAGGCGTGAGGTGTCAGGATGAGACCAAAATGCAGCCGAAGCTTGACCGTCTGCACACTTTTGAAACCACAAGTTCATCTTTTCTCTCTTTCGGTTCTGTTTGTGCAACTTGCCGTGAGATATGTTCAGAAATGTCCTGGTTCAAGTCCAATTGATATTTGCACAGCTCTTTTTTTTTTTTTTTTAATCAGATTGTGAACTAAAAGTTCAACAATTGATGAACTGACAATTAAGTGAGTATCAAATGAATTGACAACTACTTTGATAATGGCTGAATCATTTTGAGACCTCATATTGAACTTGAAATTTTCTGAATTCACAGAATTCCAGCCACTCAACAGCAAATATTCTCTCTCTGGTTTCTGTAATCCTCCATGCAGGTGGATTATATTATATATTATATTATATTAGTATCGAATCCAAATAAAAACATTTGCAAACCGCGACGTTTTTACTTTGGAAAACTATCAGCAACATTTTGGACCATTTTCTGACATTGGTGAGGGAGCAAACCACAAATGATGAGCCGGCTTCACAAGGCAGACTTTCTTGCCATTTCGATTTTCGCACAAGGCCGGTTCCATTTTAAAGTGGAACAATTCGATTCTGTGGGATTACGATTCGATATGGTCCAGATCTGTTGTGTGATGCACTGAATTTGTTGTGTAAATGAGGTGTTTTATCTCTCCATTAAAAGAACATTCTGCATGTCTCGCAATCCATTTGAAAGCGGAGCGATTCGGTTCCATACGATGCGCTCGCATGTTTTAAATCTAAACCGTTATTCCGATTTGACCCGATTGGTTTTTCGTACACTCCAAATAGAAATGTTTTGAAGCGATTCATTGAAATGAATAATTAACAGATTAATCGGTTATTCGGATCATGGTTGGTTTGCACCCCTAGAGTTTCACTGCTGCCATCCTTGTCAAAGAACAAATTGTGGAAAAAGTACTGAAACCTTCTGTCGTTGGACATTTTGAAGTTTACACAAGGCCAGACAAAATTCAGCTGATTGCATTTCAGGCTCATCCTGCAACGTCACCCCAAAAACGCCCAACATCGGACACCTGATGAGCTTGGGAATCACTTGCGTGGAGTACGGACGGACGGACGAACTGACCAGCGGCTCCACGTGCGACACACGCGCATGCACAGGCACAGCTCACGCTGGGTGAGGAAGGTGAAGACCCACAGCCAGGCGTCGCGCGTCATTATGTGCGCGCAGCCCGAGTCCAGCGGGAGGCAGCTGGGCTCGGGGCAGGCGGGCGGCGGCCTCACCAGGTGGCGCTCCATCTGGACGGGACGCGGCGGCGACGGCACGGCGGGAGGGCTGCGCTTCATCACATGCGAACGCCCCGCCGCCCCTGAGCAGGGCGAGGCCGCCGTGGCCGACACCAGCGGGCCACCGCTACCGCTCCCTCCTCGCCCCCCGTTGGAAGTGGGGACAGAGTTCCTCTGTCGACTCTTGTTGCCTTTGGTCCCGCCCCCCGCCGCCCCGCCATGTCTGTGATTGGTCAGCAGGCTGCTAGTGTTCTCCTTTTCGCCGCGTGCACGTCCGTTGCGTGGCTCCTGCCCGTTGCTGTGTTGTGAGGACGGGGCCATTTGATTGGATGAGAGCGGCGAGGGCGGCGGGAGGGACGAGTTTTTCCCAACTCTGTCTGAAGGCAGCGGCTCGGCCTCGTCTCCGTCTATCGCGGCAGATTTTCTCCCCCGCAGTGCAGAGGCTTCTCCTACTCCGGGCGTGTCTCCATCTCCTCTCCGCCGCACTTTGTCTCCCGCCCGCTCCTCTTCCTCCCGCTCCTCGTCCTCATCGTCCGACTCGTCACTTGCACTGAAACCCAACTCCGCCAGGCGCCGGTCCCGCTCGTTGCGGCTCCGTTCCGTCCGTCCTGAACCACTGTTGCCATGAGTGACGGGAGGCGGTGAGGAAGGCGAGGAGGCTCCTACCCTGCGGAGCGAGTTATCCGAGTCTGATTCGGAGTCCGACTCGGAGCTGGAGGATGACGACGACGACGACGAGTCGGGCCGGCGCTCCAGCAGGCACATCCTCTTGAAGCGTTCCAGTTTTTCCCGGTGATGCGAGCGCTGATCTGTGCTGGTTCCCCCGCCTCCCAGTCCATCGCCCGTTGCTGTCACAAAGGAAGTGGAGCCCAGAGACGATCCTCCCGCTGAGGAGGCAGGGCCATTGGACTCTGCTCCTTCTTGTTTGGGCTTCTAAAAGCAGGACGCAAGAGCACAAGTCAGAATCAACTCAAAAGAACCACAACGGACGAAAACGTGAAGTGCACCTTTTTGAGACGTTTCTCGTGCGCACCCTTCATCTAAAAGAAAAGACACGTTTATTGTGAGCAGCAGAGCGTGACTGGTCGTTTTAATTAAGATTTCTTCACGACAGTGCTCCTTAACTTTGCTTGATGAGACTCCGGGGTATTGGCGAGTCAGTGTCAGGGGTTTGCCAGAGAGCAACACAATGTGTGTGTGTGTCCATGAATGCTTTTTCACTCCACATTTAGCAGGGCACCGCCTGACCTTTTTCTTGGGTCCGCCATCCGAGGGCAGCATCTCCTTCCTCCTCTTGTGCCCGCCTTCCGGCCTGGGCGCCTCCTTCTTGGGTGGCGGTTCGTCCGTCAGCTTCCAGCGGCCCAGCTCACCGTTGTCCAGACGCCTCTTGGCCAACATGTCAGCTTGCTCCTGTGGGCGCACACAAGACCAGGGTGATTGGGGGGGGGGGGATGCTGAACAGGGCGGGATCCAAAGGACTTTCGAAATGCTATGTAGCTACTGCTGATGACCAGACACATTTGCGTGACATCATCGGCTGTGCTGTGGATTTCAACTAAGTTACATTTTTTGCAAACAATAATGTATATTTGCTTTGTTAAGACCGTTCAGCATTTGATATTTTAAAATGTATTCATTAATTATTTTGTCAATCGGGAGAGAAAAAAGGCCTGGTTGCGCTGTGTGGCATCAGGCAGAACAATTACATGCAATTGAATGAAAATATTAATACTTTAAAAACCCACAAAAAAAAAATATCCAGCGCTACATGATTTTCTGTACTTTGCCAAATTTGTGCAAGTGTGAGCTGTGTGATTCCTTCCGGGCATTTGGAGGGCTTAAAGGTGTGTGTTGAAATGTGTGTTTTGAGCAGTAAAAGTGGACCCCCACGCCAACCGAATGTTGGATGTGCTCTGGGCCCGATCTCAATTGTTCTATTCATAATTTTTTTTTAAACCCCAAAAACATCTGCGCACGCGCTTGGTCACAAGTTAAAGATGGCACCAGTCACTGACCTTGCTGGTTTTCCCCTCCTTGTGGCACTTGGGACACTCCCAGCAGTTGGGAATCTCGTCGTTGATGATGCCCTCCGCCTTGCCCATCTGCCACCGCGCAAAGCACACGAATGCACGTCAGGCAGGCTTCTCGTGGGTGTCGCCGGGCAACAAGAAGTGAGGGTGGAACCCACCTTGAGGCAGCGTGGGTGTATGATTTCGTTGCAGATCGTACATTCCATCAGGCTCAGGCTGAACTTGTCCTCGTCGCCCTCTACGGTGTCCTCCTTCCCCGCCTCGCCACACGCCAGGCACACCGCCGTGTGCGGGAGTACAGGCTGCCCGCAGAGTTCACAAGTCAGTGACCCTGCCCGCCGGGAGCGTGTCAATATTGCGGCTCCTTGAGATTTAACTGAGCCCGGCGAACGATTTTTACCAGAAAAAAATGCAATAACATTCCACTAAATTCGTGCTAAGATAAATGAGAAACGCCATAGATGAGCTCCAGTAAAATGATATAGATATTACGGTAATTGTAAACCTTCAAAACAAAAACAGCATCTGACAATGCTCACAGACTTCTATTCGATGTGCGGTGTGGGAACAAATGTGAACGATTTTGTTTTGAGCATAGTGTAACACACCGTTTGCCTTCTTTTAAGGGAATGAAGGACATAGACAACTGACACCTTCACACTGGGAATCACCATGCTTTCAAAACAATGAGGCCACTTGTTACTGTTGTGGCTCAATCAGAGGAGCCCGGAAGAATGAGAGAGAGTGAGGGAGCGAGAGAGAGGAGAAAGCAAGATGGAGAGAGGGAGCAAGAGAGCACCGGAGCAAGAGAGAGAAAGAAAGAGAAATGGAGAGAGAGAGGAGAGCGAGGGACCAAGACAGTGAAAGGATGAGACAGAGAAGAGTGAGAGGGACAGACATCGTGTGAAACGGGGGGAGCAAGAGAGAGTGCAAAAGAGTGACGTGTGAGAGAGAGAAAGTGAGAAAGAGGGAGTGAGAGAGAGAAAGAGTGATGGAGGGAGAGAGGACAAAAGAGGGATGGGGAGAGAAGGAGAAAAAGAGTGAGCGAGCGAGTGAGAGTGGCTTCATTGCAGCGCGCATTTTGGTTTCCCACGAACTAGCTGGCCAGAAGCTGAGCAGCAGCACCACTTCGGCTTGTTGCGTCTTCCACGCTAGACTCAGCAGGAATTGCCTCATTTGGTACCTTCTCGTTAGCATGTGGCGTGTTGTGTGAGTCTCACCGCCGTGCACTGCCTGAGCAGGCAAGATTGCTTCATACGTCCGGGCCCCCCAAACTTCTTCATGTCCTTGCAGAAGTGACACTCGCCGCACTCGCTGCGGGTGCACGCCTGGCAGCGGCGGCACCGCGTCCTCCTGCGCCTCGCCCCACCGCCAAGCGCCTTACTGCCCGACATCCCACAACGAGTCAGCTGTAATGACAACAAAGACAAACGTGTCAGTACACTCACCATCTTGGTGCAATTTCCTCCAGAACAAATCAATTTGTCATCCGTCGCAGTTTCCAACATCACATACTAATTTGGACACAATGACTCGAGAAAACCTTCAGGAATTTCGACCTATGCCAGGTGACTGAAACTTGACAGCTAATCAGGAAGGTCTCTCTTCAAAAATGGGACATGATTTCAAATTGACAGTACAGAAAATGCACATAAATAATTTGATGACCGACTTCCTGGTTTGGTCCACTCCATCCATCAGAAAAAGACAAGCTGCTTACATAGAGCACGACAGAAATCATTAATTAACTGACATTTGGTTTGTTATGATTGTATTACTGTTCACGATATAATTTATGTCATGTGGTCTGTAAAGCGCTTTTACTAAGTTGCTGCTGTTGAGACAGTGTATAAAAATAAAGTTGAGTTGAAAGACTGAAATTCATTACACAATGGCTGAAACAATTGCCAATGAATGTGATCATTAATTAGTTGTTAGGTGGCTCACAGTTACACCTCAGGTTTTTTTAAATATTTTTTTTAGATACTGCCGAAAAGGACCATTCAACCGACACAAAAATTCTGCAGTTCATCGCAACCCAAACTGCGATTTTCTAAATTCTTACTGCGTTGTACATGGGTTGAAGTGGCCATTCCAACCAGATGCAGCATTTGGGACATCAGTCAAAATGTATTAAAACAGCAGCCAATATGGGGAACTGTGCTGCCAGTTCAGTATACTCCCATAAAAACAATGTCAACATAATTTGATTCACGGTTCCGGACTGATTCATTCTATTTCAAATTATTTGAATGAAACATTGGTTTAGGGTCTCGATTAACAGATGTGGAGTTCAAAACCCAAAATACTTCATCTGTGTGTACTTGCAGAACACCAACACGGTGTGAGGTCAAAGCTTGTTCCTGTGCTTTCTTGTGATACAGTACTAACATGCAGCTACGAATCATCACTGGATCACGTGATCAACGGGCATCACAAAGCACTCAGCTAGTACCCTTAGCAAGCATCAGGAAGGCAGGCAGCACCTGAAGGGTGCTAACCGTGAACACACACACACACACACACACACACACACACACACACACACACACACACACACAAGCCCCCTCCGTGAACAGGGAACATGGGCTAACATGCTAAGCCCTTAGCATCGCTTTGGCTGCTCTCTTGATTCAAAGAGCTCGCGTGCGCGCGCACGGCCGTTGTTGTCATTGTCACCCACCTCTGGCTATCAGCTCGCATGCTCGTGCCTCGCACATTAGCAACAAGATTAGCCGTCCAACCAGCTAGCCGCGATAGCTTGTCGTCAGTCCCTGCGTCCGTCCGTCAGCTTCCTTGTTTGGTTGCTGCCGTCTCACGCGCGCTTCATGCCGCCGATAGCCTCTAGCTAGCTCCTGGCCAGCTAGCCCGGCGCAGCCGATGTGTTTATGATCAGACAACTAATGGGTATTGAGGAAGAGGAGGCGAAGGGCGAAGTGCTGCTGCTGTGGGACTAGCCCATTCACCCCCCTCTCTCTCTCAATCGCTCGCTCGCTCTCACTCTCTCTGCCGCGCACCTCTCAGCGCGCGCGCTCGCGCGTTCTACTTCTCGGGCTTGTTCACTACACGTGCGCGCTGCTATCCCTCCGCATAAAGTAGTCCCAATAGTCAGTCCCTCCCTCCACAGCCTATCGCGAGTCAAGAGGCAGGACCCGCGCTTTCGTTTTCTTGTCCCAACCCACCCATCATTATTTAACAAAAAGATACATAAAGATACAAAAACATAAACGCCACAAAAACATACCGGTGTCATGTGTCAACAATATAATAATAAAAAAGACATTGAAATGGAAGCACAATTTCAAGGTTTTTATAGCTTTCTTGTTTTCAGCAGCAGACACTGACAGAAAATACAGTTACAGTTTTTTCAGAAGGACACAACAGAAAATCTGTTACACCTGTGGGCCACATGCTCTCCCCGGTCGTTTGTTGTTGTTGTGTGTGTGTGTGTGGGTGTGTGTGTGTGTGTGTGTGTGTGTGTGTGTGTGTGTGTGTGTGTGTGTGTGTGTGTGTGTGTGAGACGCGAACGTTTTGGTGGCGTGCAATGACACGCTCACGTTGAAGACGTCACACAGGTGGCTGCGGGCGCGCGCGCGGGCTCGTGCGCGGGTTCCGAGGAGACCAATCAGTATTTAATAATACAAGTCAACAAATGCCGCAATTAGGCCCTTTTGGCGGATATGATATCAAATGCAGAAATGCATCATGGGACTTGAAGTTGTCGTCACAATTTAATGATTCGACTCACTAGAGTCACAGTGGATACACTGGGATACAGACAAATATATTTTCTGAAATAAAGCGTACAAGTAAGTACAAGTAAAAAGCCAAAGTCCTATTCGAGTAACAGGTATTCTAAGTGTTTTGCAGCGAGTCAAGCCCGAACCCCCTCGCTAGCAGTTAGCATGTAGCAGCTCAGCTAGCAGGCTAGGCTCGGCTCGGCTAGCGGCGTGTAATTGGTTGACGTGCGCCGGTCGAGTCGGCTCGTCTATCAACATTCGGGTGCTGTTGGGACGGAACACACTCCCCAGCCAGCCAGCGAGCAGGCGACGCGGACTCGGCGAACACGGATCGGAGGCGTCGTTGTGCGTCTCATCCCGCGAGTGAAGATGATTAAGCTCTTTTCCCTCAAGCAGAAGAAAGACGAGGAATCTGCTGGAGGAAACCGAACCGGAGCCGGCGGTAAAAAAGCCAGCGCGGCCCAGCTACGAATACAGAAAGGTGCGCTCTTTCACCAATACACAAACACACACTTTTACACTTCTGAATCTACATAGATGTGTGTGCGTACGTCTGCGTTAATCTATTTGGAATTGTTGAAACACAACTACGAGCTTGTCACTGCTCCCAACCCAAGAATACGCTCGGCTAGCACTTAGCCACAGAGGCTCACTGCTAGCGAGCTGACTCCCGCTAGCCCAGCCTCCACTGACAACATACACACAAAACATATTTCACGGCTGGTTAGCAGCTAGCAACGCTAGGTCCCCCGACTGCGCTCTTTGTGCTAAACTGTTAGCGCACATGGGTGCTGCTGTATTAGCACCCCAACGTCATGACACCTGCAGGGGTCACGTGAGCAGGCCACACCTGCAAGGTTTCGGGCACCACCCCCTGCTCATGTCCCAGTGACATCAATGCCTGTGATGACATAACATCCAAAATGCAGAGCAAAACTGTTAATCATGTGGTCTTGCAACTATGCCATGCGGCTAATGCTTCATTTAAGAGGTGTCTTTAAGATATGATCAGTGAGTCAACAAAAACTAGTTGAAGCAGCGAAAGACAGCAAGTGTTTTTGAAAATGCCTGTTTTGGATGCCCACAAATAGACAGACAGCATTTTATTTGGAGGGGGTCTGTTTCAGACACGACTTGACTTTTTTATTTTATTGCAAAAGGGTTTCTTTCAGATACTGATGGTATTTGAAAATGTGTGTTTCAGACATCAATGAGTTGAACCTGCCGAAGACATGTGAGATCAACTTCCCTGATGACGATGACCTCCTCAACTTCAGACTCATCATCTCACCTGATGAGGTGTGTGTGTGTGTGTGTGTGTGTGTGTGTGTGTGTGTGTGTGTGTGTGTGTATGTGTCCCCGTCCGTGCGTGTGTGTGCGCGCGCGTACACCTATGTACTCGAGTTGAGAGATGACTTTTTTTTCCTGTTAGGGTTTTTACAAAGGAGGAAAATTTGTCTTCAGCTTTAAGGTCAGACTCAATTTTTCTTGTCACCGCGGCAATGTTGTTGTGTGTTTGCATGCAACATGTGGTGAGTGTGTGTGTGTTGCAGGTAGGACAGGGTTACCCTCATGACCCCCCAAAGGTGAAGTGTGAGACAATGGTGTACCACCCCAACATCGACCTGGAAGGAAACGTCTGCCTCAACATCTTAAGGTGGTCTCACTGCCTGTTTGCTGAGTCACATCACATTTCAGTGCTTGTGTGTGTAAGGGTTTTAATTGTGTGTGTGCGTTGTGTGTGTGTGACAGGGAGGACTGGAAGCCTGTGCTGACAATAAACTCCATCATCTACGGCCTACAGTATCTTTTTCTAGTGAGTGACTACTTCCTGCTTGTTGGGGGTCACGTGACTGCTGACCTCATCACGAACATCATCAGAGTGGCCCTTTGCTTGCGTTTCAGGAGCCCAACCCCGAGGACCCCCTGAACAAGGAGGCGGCCGAGGTCCTGCAGACGAACCGCCGCCTGTTTGAGCAAAACGTCCATCGCACGCTGCGTGGCGGCTACATAGGCTCCACCTACTTCGAGAGGTGTCTGAAATAGCTCCGCCCTTGCCCGCAGGAAGCAACCGAGAACATTTTCGGAGGTCCCAGCCCCGCCCCCTTCTCCTCACATTTTTCTTTTCCATGACTCAGTGCTTATCATTCATGCCCAGCAGGACTCGGGGTTGTGCAGGGGTGTGGAAAGGGGGGTGCGGGCAGGGCTCGTGAATGTTGACGGCATCACAAAACGCTTTGGCTTTTCATTTGGCAGGAGGTTATGCCCCCTCCCGCCGCAAACTCCAAACAGCGCCCCCCGCAGGGGGTGAATGTCAGGTGAGGGGCGAAAGAAAGGAGCCGGACCAGTTTTGAGTTTGCTGTGGGGGTGGGGCTACGGCAGCGGTGGGCTGAGACAGAAAAAAAAAACTGAAAAAGGTGGGGCTTGTGGGTTGACATGTTCATGAAGACTGCAATGATTGACGTGAATAAATTACTAACTTGAACTGTCCCTTTGAACATCTTTGCCACTGCTGACGGGTGGTGTCACACAGCTGTTTCCATTTGGGGTGCGCCCTTGTACGGATGGTCACATGACATGGATGGCCATGCAACATGTGACGACATCGTAACATCCTTCAATGTTTCCAAACGCAATTACTGCTCCCCGCTGGTGGAAGGCAAGTGAAAGTAGCGCTGGGCAAGGGAAGGGGTTTCAAGGCGGGCGTTTGGAAACCCTTTAGCTTTTATGGATAGGAAAACAGAAAAGGGTGTGGCCAAAACAGATTCCATACATAAAACATCTCCCCAAAAAAAAGTCACTGCTAACGCTACAGACATTTCGGCACCTCTGGCATTTCCCGGCCAGGGTTGTTGGAATCTCCCAAATTTCGAAATGAATGTTTAGTCACCACAGACTGTCGAGCGCATGCTGTCGTTACCGAACGGCGCTTTGGCTCCCGCGCAGACGTTCCGACCAGTTTGCGTTCGAACCTCCCAAGCAAAAGTGTTTTGTACTGTTGGTCGAAAATTAAATATTTTTAAGACTGCTGCTTTTGGCACAACTTTGTGCACTTTTTTTTAGTTGCTAATCTTAATCTGTTATGACTAAGCATTTTTTGTTCTACAGGCTGAAGAAGTGCTCCAGGCACGCATTTGCTAACTCGACATACGTCAATGATAATGGCTTACGTTTATTTAGAAGTAGGAAACAGGCACAAAGTGAAAGAGGGAAGAAGGATTATTTTATTGTTGAATAATGCTGCCGAGGGGCCAGCTGTGGTGAAATGGAGCCTTACCTAAAAGCTACATATTATTATTATTAGGTGGCCATTTCTGTTGTTGCAATGTCCGTCCATTCATTCTCTGTGCCACTTATTCGGCATGAGCCGGTTACCTCGGGTATCAAAAGTCCCGAGTTCAAAACCGCTCAAACCTTTTGTTTTTCTTCTTTTTTTTGCAGTCGTCAGTGCAGGAAAAGTGATATAATCACTTGCATTGTTGGTGGAAACAGTCACCCGTTTGTCATTTGTTTTCATTTTATTTTGACTTTTGTTTTTCAGTTCAGTTAGTTTTCATTTGTGAGTTATTAACGTGTGTTATGTCAGTTGAATGAGGTGTGTGAGGGGAGTGTCAGAAGTATTGTGTAATAAAAACATTTCAAAACTGCGCTAACTTTGTAGTAGCTGAACAATTTCCACAAATTTAATACAGCTACTATATAATAGTCCACATAAGTTTTAATTCAGTGTAAAAAAAAAACAAAACTGCTTGGCTGCATCACAACATGCATTCAAGCCATTCACCAAACACATACTGCTGCTTTATCAAAATTTTTGTTCAACTTACAGAGCCTTCTGTCCATCATTGTAAACAAGTGCAAAAAACAATCGTTATTTTCATGTTTTACTTCCTTTGCGCCAGGTTGCAAACTTCCAGGTTGACTCCCACTTCTATGGCTCCAGAAGTGTTCCACTCCAGCAGAAGGCCCTTAATCTTTGTTTTGTTTGCCACAGTCAGAGATCGATTGATGGGGTAGTTGAAAAGTGTTGCGGGTTTATTTGAGCAGAAAAAGAAACGTAGATGTCCTTTAGGTAGTGTAGCATTGTTGCTGTTATTATGTGCCGAGTTTTCCTGTGTTTTGAGGGGGGAACACATACAAGGCAATGTGGTTACCACCTTTGGAGTTTATTTTAGCTGAAGGGTTTGGCTGGATTCTACGTCTGCCTTAAGATAAATACGACTGCATCCACCCTCTTGGAACATGTGAATTACTGTACAGGTACTGATACATCAAGATTTTCAGATGGACTTTTTGATGTCA